TTTTCGGCGAGGGGGGGGAAGTGGGAAGCGCTGCCTTCGGAGCGCCAGACACGCCGCGCCCGGCGGGGCAGCGTGAGCGGCTGAGAGCGCCGCACCCTGCGCTGACCGGCCCGCCGGCAGCGGCACGCAGGGCCGGGAGCTGCCGGGTCTCGGTCCCCAGCGTGCTTTTACGCTCCGGTTCTTCCTGGGGAGGGGATCCTGGCTCGATTCCGCAAGAAGGGGATCCCGACGCGCATCATCAGTGGTGGCGGGAAGAAGGTTTTCTACTCTGGAGCGGGAAGCATTCGCCAGCTCCCTTCGATAGCTCAGCTGGTAGAGCGGAGGACTGTAGTGGCGCGGCCCGCGGGAATCCTTAGGTCGCTGGTTCGATTCCGGCTCGAAGGAGGCGCTCGGTTTTGCCGCGCGGGGCGGCCCTGCCGTTACCTTTTCCTCCCTGCGGCCGTCGGGAGGCGCCGCCGTTGCGGCGGGCGCGGGGGCGGCTCGCGGGCGCTCGCGGCGAAGCGTTACGGGGCTCCCGCGCCGGCGGGACCCGCTCCCCCCGCGGCGCCGTCACACCGCCCGCCCGCCAGCGCGAGGCCCTGCCCCGCCCCCGCCCGGCGCGCGGGGCCGCGTGCGGGCGGCGGCGGCCAATGGGGCGTCAGTCCGCCTGCGCAGATTCAAACGGCGGCTCGCGGGGGGGAGGCTGCGCGCGAGATTCGGGCGGCACCGGCCGAGCGCGCCGCGAGCGCCGGCGGCTGAGCCCGAGCGGCGGCGGCGGCGGCCGGGGCGGCAGGGCCGGGGCCGGGCGGGCGCAGCGCAGCGCAGGGCAGGGCAGGGCGGCGCTGAACAGCGGAGCAAAGCAGAGCAGCGCAGCCCGGGAAGGGCGGGCGCGCACCGCCGAAGCCCGCGGCAGCTCTGACAGCAGCGGGGAGCGAGGCACCGGCCGGGGCGAGAAAGGGGCCGCTGCGCGCCCCGTCCTTGCGGGCAGCGGCCAGGCCGAGCCATGCCTGACGCGCCCGGGCCGGGCCGGGGCTGAGGGCGGCCGGCGGGGTGCTGCGGGCACCGCGGGCAGCAGCGGGCCCTGGGAGGATACCTGCCCGCCTCGAGCCTTCCTGACCCACCAGTGCCCTGCTACGTGCCCTGCCCTGTCCTGAGAGAGGGAGCCCGGGCGGGGCTCGGGGGCTCCGCGCTGCGCCCCGCGGCCGTGGCGGCCCCCCCTATGGTGCGCCCCGAGGATGGCGGAGAGACGGCGCAGGTGAGTGCGGACCGGGGCTCCGTGCGCTCTGTGCCCCCCACCCCTCCCGGGCAGCGCTGCCTCCCCGCCGCCCCGCGCCCCGGTGCCCCCCGCGCCCCGGGATCCCGGCCAGGTGCCGCCCCGCCCCTCAGCGCCGCTCCGGCCTCCTGCCATCGCCTCGGCTGTCACTGCCCACCTCCCTCCCCCCTCCGGCACCGCACAGGTATCTGTTCCCTCGGGCTGGCGGGCACCACCTCTCGGGTACAAATCCCGCCTTTCCCCTGGCAGCTGCTCTCACCTCTGTGCTTTCCCTCGGGCCGTCTGTCGTAGCTTACCTGGACAACTGAGCCTGTTAGTAACAACTACGTTGTCTGCTCAGCGGCTTTCCCTGCTGGTTACTTGCCTTCTGATGGAGTAGTACTTCTTCCTTTTCACCTCCCGAGTGGCTTTGGCACTGCCTTGATGTAAGATTTGGGCCTGTTGATTTTTCCAGTATCTTCAATACACCTACTTTCTCTGATTTGGCATATCCTTTGATTGAGGATGTCACAATCTATCCTGAAATATTCCTGAGAGATAATGTTTTCCTCAAGAACTCCATCAGCAGCCCCAGATGGGTTTCATACACCTTTTGTCGTATTGATATGAAAATGGGTGTGTCTCTGCTTTGTATTCAGAAGGTGGCCTTGAAGAACTGTTTTGTCACTATGGTTATTCTTGTCCTAAATAGAAAATCAGTTTTTGAAAAGTGATAAAGAAATACAAGAGAAGGACTAGGATTGAAAAAGGAAAGGATACTCAGTGAGTTACCCAAGGCATCAGGGGTTTACCATGAATGCATACTTTTCCTGTAATTGAGACTACTTTCAAAGTTATAGATGTTAAAACTCCGCCTGTGTTTTTCTCTCTGACATGGAAGAAGTTTGTAAGATAATATTTTTCTGCAAAACTGCAACTAAAACAAGAAAGCAATGCTTTGGGGCTCTAGTTGTGTAAACCACAAAGGGGCTTTGCTTGCAGAGGGTAACTGCTGGAGCTGTCTGTGCTTGGCTGTCTGCAAGAATCAGCTCAGAGACAGAATGTTTCTTGTTACTCCTAATGTGTATTTTGTAGCTTAAGAGACTTTCACCTGTGATCTTGCAAGCAGTAGTTTCATTTTTTGTCAGACTTTAGCTTGTGTTGTCTCACATGGCTAAAGAGTGCTTTGATTTCATGGTTGAAAATACAGCGGGTTGTGAATAGCAGAGGAAGGTTTGGCTAGAGGTCAGTAGCCCTAGGGCAATACTGTGTCAGTGTGTGTTGATATCTCCAAATAAGTGTGATGATTATATTTCCACTAAAAACTAAATTATTGAAACTATGAGTTTCCATAAAGGTGATTTCAAGATTGTTAATCTAGGTGTGGAGTAGGGAGAGAGGTGTAATTGTTTTGCGCCAAATGGAGTCAAGTTAATTTAATGTTATATTAAATTAATTTTAAACTGTTCTTGGTTGTTGCATTTACAGGCTTGATTTTTTTCCTTTAATAATTCTCAACTCAGAATTGCAAGGATGGCTAGCACAGAGCTCACAAAATACTTGCTTTATTGTTCCAAATGTTTTATTTGATGAAACTTGGTGGCCGTGTTCCACTTTGGTGCAGGGATGTAGCGCAGTTTCGTAACTGCAGAAGAATTGTCAGTGAGCTATAACAACCCCACGTGTTTGAAAATCTTTGTTTAATTGAAAACTTAAATTGGTAGTCCCAACCATTCATGCGTATTTAATTTATAACCTATTGGAGCACTGTTCTAAGCAAGACTCAGACTAGGTGGTTATTCGTGTGGAATCAAGGTGCAGGAGAGGTCAGTGCCTGCTTGGCTGGTCCTCACACCTGCTAAGTGCATGGAGGCATCCAGGGCTGTGCCAGTTTGGCTGTGGGACACGTGTGCTGCCGGAGAATTTCAGGCACAGGGCTCTGAACCACTACTGCTGCCAGGGGGGAATCCACGGTGTCTGATACTGGCGCTCTCATCAACATCACTGCCCTGTACAGGGAGCCCCTTCTTTTTTTAAATTCCCATGACTTTTCACGTAACTGAAAACTTCATGAACTAATTTACTGTGCAGTAGGTGAGGAGGTTGTGTTGAAAAAGGCCTTAATCACAAGGCCAAATTTTAGTTATAAGTGAACTGTATGGTTTGCTTGGTATGAAATCAGTTTATAATACCAAAATATGCTTCTCATAATACCAAGATATACCCTTGAAGTTTGTTGATTACCTGTGGACAAAAGACAAAAAAAGGAGGTGTGAGAGGAAGAAAAAACTTTGTTGCTTCTGAATTTACATTCTCTTTTTGTAAGTCCTAAGCCACTTAATGCAAAGCTCTTACAGTCATTTTGTAGCCTAGTTTTTTTGTACCATGAGGAACTTGCAGTTGACTTTTTGACAATTTTACTGCCTTGTATTTCACCAACTGCACAGAGTTTTCATATGTTTGTGTTACTGTTTCTGCTGCATCATGAACCAAAGTAGGGCAAATACAGGTGGTGGTGTAGGATGTAGAAGTGATGTTAAATACACTGGGTCTGCAAGAGTGGGCACTTACTATCCTGTGGTAGTGCTTTTGAATGAGATATGTCCTCTGTGGCTTGCAGGAACATATTTCACGGGAAATGACAAATAATGCATATGTGGTTAATCTGGAAAATCTGTGCTGATCTGGAAAATAATGTAGAGATCTCCTATCTAATCTGTTCTTAGGACACCAGCACAGGTTAATTCCATTACTGGGAAAGTTTGGGGTTTTTTTTCACTTTTGGTTGAAAAATTGACGTAATTGTCAAGGTTGAACAGAACTAGTAAGTTTAGTTTTGAACGTCTGTTTGTGGTATTTGTATCATACTTTGTACTGATATAAGAATGGAGAAAAATACACATTTCAGTATGAAACTGCTTTTAATTTAAGCCATGTATTGGGATGGGAATCCCTTCTTTGGGCCTTTGCTATAATTCATGTAGGGGAACTGCAGCTGTTCTTGTTAGACCTAGGTTTCCACATGTGTTTGAATTTATACTGACTAACACGAGTCACTGACACAGAAGTTTAAGCGATGTTTACATGAAACACTTCTCTGTGCCGCCTGTTTGGAAGACTTTGTTTATCCAGGCTGTGGAGTTCCGAATTTCTCCAGTAGATGGAGAGTGGTCTACGTGGAGTCGCAGAGGTACCTGGTTGCCGGTCCCTCTGGCTCTGCACTTTGAGGCTCGGCACTGATGCCCTAGTTATTTCTTGCTGGAATGTATCTGTCTGCAAAGATTTGTATCTAATGCCTGTAACACTGAGCAACGCTTTTAGTGAAGTTGGGAGCCCACTTAGAATCTCAAATTAACACTTATTCGACACTCTTGTGCTTGTTGTTTCAGCTATGAAGGTGGATCATGAATGTGTTTTGCAGACTAGCAAACCACTCTATCTTATAAGCTCATTTGTGTAAAATAAAGATTCACAAATGTGTTACAAAGCCATGAATCTTAGAAAGTAGTTTTCATATAATATTTAAGTCTTGATTGAAATGAGTTACCTGTCCATATCCCCCTCTGTGGCCTTGAAATTAAAATTCATTCTGTTCCTTTGGCACAGTGAACTGCTGGGGGTAGGTCTTATGATCATGCAAACCCCGTATATCATTTTAGAACAATATGTACAGATTGGAAAAAAGCTACAAGTAATTAGGGGGAAAAATTATTCAGAGGTATTTTAAACTCTATTTTGATCTTCTTCACTCTTCTGTTGTACTCTGCAGTGAGGAAGATGATGACTTTCAGTATATGGATCATGACTATGAAGTACCACAGCAAAAAGGTTTGAAGAAGATATGTAGCAAGGTGAAATGGACACGTGAAGAGGTAATACTTTTTTTGGCTTTAGTTTGATTCCTACATGATCTTATTAGCTCACGAAATATGCTGTTATTTAGTATTGTATTTGGACAGCATGTAACATTTACTGGCTGAGGTTATGTCTTTAACAGGATGAAAGGCTAAAGAAGCTGGTGGAACAAAATGGTACAGATGATTGGGCTTTCATTGCTAGTCATCTACAAGTAAGTTGAACCTCTGTTTCAGTTAAGTTCTCTTGATGTTTATCTGGTTATATGTCTAGTTTGGAAATGGGGTGAAATATATATCAGAAGCATATAACAATAAAAACTATGTTAGGAAATGCTTCTAGAATAGATTTGAGATCTAGCTCAGACCTTGGGAAACCTTATAGGCTTAGGCTGTAACAGTGGTCTGAAATGATCAAAAATACTTGATGCCTTCGGTTCCCACTTGCTATTTGTTTTTATTATGGAATATATTCCTGTTTCTTACTGATTACATTACTTCTGGTAATCTACAGTTCATGGGTTGCTTCTGAAGCAGTTAGGAGAGTGGGTTGCATCTGAAAGATTGCTTGAAAGAAGTGAGATCCATTTCTTAAACACCATAGGAAAGAGGGGGTGATTTTTTTTTAAATTATTTTTTGTGTGTGTTTGTTGGGTTTTGTTTTGTTGGCTTTTGGTTTTTTATAGTGATGACTGCTTCCCTAACATACATAAATCTTCCCACCTGATGATGTCTTCAGTTACCAGGAATGGAACCTTAGCCAGTGTTGTGGAAGTTTCCTACTGACACTTAAAATTTCTGTTCTGTTCAAATGGTCAGGTGGAATGAGTGAAAGAGCTACTGGTTCAAATATTTATGTTTCTTCAGCTATATGAGAGGCACTGGTATAAAGTACCTACAGCTAGAATTGATGATGTTTGTTTCTCTTCTGAACAAATGTTATGAAATCCTACTGTGAAAAATGTAACTAAGATCTAAGGCTGAAATCACTGCCTGGAAATGGTATTGAATATTCAAATATTAGAAATCCCCTCACACCTTTGAGGGTCTTATAATATTGTGTGGGGTGATACAGTTCTATGAAATTCCTGTGTGCTAAACATAGACTTGAATTCTAAATTCAGAACAACTGTAAGTTTTTATCATTCTCCTCATAATTGTGCAACTGTGATGCTTCTGATTTTTTTTTTTCAGGTGGCAAAGTGTAGATATCAGGGAATAAACTCAAAGCTGCTAAATTTAAGGAGTGCATAAGCAAATCAGTATTCCTTATATGTGCATTATCCCCTTCTAAAAATCAGTCAAGTGAGTGAATGGCAGAGGAGAACGTGATAATATCAAAAAGCTTGTGTATTAAACTGAAAATACAATGTTTGGTGATACTGATCTGCAGGTGTAGTATGGAGGTGCTTTTTAATAAAAAGTTCTCCAGATGTAAACAAATGCTTCTGGAGACAAGAAAGCTCTTGTTCAGCAGGTTGCCCACTGCAGAATTGTTTATGTTGGAAGGAACTTTTCAAGATCATCTGGTTCACAGCTCCTGCTCAAGCAAGGTCAGCTGGAGCAGGCTGCCCAGGACAGTGTCCTTTTGGGTTTTGAATATCTCCACGGATGGAGACTCCACAACCTCTTTAGATGACTTATTGCAGTGTTCAATAGCCAAATAATAGAGGCTGGCATAATTAGCACTTATTCAGTTACTGATGGTCTTTTGCAAGGAAAACCAAGTGCATCTTCAATTACTAGCATGTAGAGGCCTGCAAGCTTCTGTGTTTTCAAAGCCTCATTTTGTTGTTGGACTGGGCACAAGTAAACCTTTCCTCTACTCTGCCCCCAAAAAGTGAAGATGGCTTCAAGATGACTCCCAAGAGAGGGAACACAGCTTATAATTGCCTTCAATTTTTTGCAGCTAAGGGAAACTGAAATGATTGTATTGTTTCATCCCATCATTTGTTTTACTCTTTTCCCAAAAATATATTAGGGTTTCAGAAATGTCTGGAAGGTAAAAACACTAAAAGGCCACAATTTAATTTTTTTTCCCCTCAAAATGGAAACAGGTATTTTATATTGAGTCTGTCTTTTACAGCTTGTCTTCACTAGAAAATGTTTTTTAATAAACTAATGTGCTTTTAATCATACAGTTACTACTTATGATTAACTTGGAAGGTATTGTGTAATTTCAGATATTAGTGTTTTGGGTGTTTTTTCTGGTCTGCTAGACTGCTGCTTGGTTAACTTCACTTTAGCATGTTAACACCTTTACTTTTAAACAAGCCCAGCAAAACCTTGCAGTTGGTACTTGCTGTCCAACAGCTTGCACTGAAGTGAGTAAATAATCATGTCCCACTGTTAAAAAAGGAATGCTAGTGTGTTCTACTGGGGCAGGCTCTTACCTGCATGTTTCTAAGGATTGGACCAAGCTTTCCCTACAGACAGTTTTTAGGAAGCTAAGTGAAAACTTATGTCTCTTTCATAACTGGGAACAAAATTTCAAAAGATCCTTAGTGAAGCTACAGAAAAGCACCATCTGTCCTGACTGGCAAAAGCAGTGTTGTTTAATTAGTATGTGTTAACTAAACTTGATATAAATCTGTTTTCCTTAACACTGTGGTAAAGAACTGAGAATATGTTCATCTGAGACTTGGAAAAAGGTTTATTCTTTTATCTGAAAGAAAAAGTATTTCCTTAAAAATTTCTCTCCTTATTTAAGTTGTAGATAATGTCAAAAGTATATCAGCCTCAAAGTTCAGAGAAAGTGTGGAGTAATGAGGACAAAAATAATTCTAAATTTCTCTCTAAAGAAGAGTAAGTTCTGAATTTAATTATCAAGTAAGTACATTGAATAGAGCTTCATGCAAGGCTTTATTTTTCTGGAGATAAGTTTTTATAAGCAAATGGAAGAGGAAACAGTAAGGGAGAATTTAACAATTATACTTAGAACAAATGTCTAAATAAACATTTTAATTTGAAATAAGCTAATAATTCTGGCTAGAAAGTACTTACATATTTACATATTCTAGAGTTTAACAGCTACACTGATCTTCTAAAACTGTTTCAGAATCGTTCAGATTTTCAGTGCCAGCATCGATGGCAGAAGGTACTAAACCCAGAATTGATTAAAGGTCCCTGGACTAAAGAAGAAGATCAGAGGGTAATGAAAACTAATTGAAACTCTGCTCTTTTACTGTAATAAAATTGCCATATGACTGCTAAGAATGTGCACTTTTCCTTAAGGTTTGTTCCCACAGAGTTGATGTCTGGTGGGTCTTGAGCCATGGATATTTACATTACACTGGGTCGTGTGAGAAGAAAAAAAATGTAGCTGCTCCTAAGTAGATGGAATGTATGGTCTGCCTAATGTCAGCTTATGCAATGGGTGACAGAAAGAACGCTTCCAAATGAATGTTTTCATCAGTATATATTTATATTCTAAACACAGAGAATTTGCAGTTAATAAGTAATTTTTTTGATTTCTTGAAGAATCATTTTTAACCCCCCAAGTCATCATCTGCCCCCTTAGGTCTAATATCATACCAAGAAGACTATTACAATGCTATTCTAAAATGTGAGTTTATCAGTGTTCTCAGTCTTTGATTAGGTAAACTAGGTTTTGGAATTGTAATGTGCTTTCATCTGTGTTCCAGGTTATTGAATTAGTTCAGAAGTATGGTCCAAAGCGCTGGTCTCTAATTGCAAAACACTTGAAAGGAAGAATAGGCAAGCAGTGCAGAGAGAGATGGCATAACCATCTCAATCCTGAGGTAAAAAAGTCTTCGTGGACAGAAGAAGAGGACAGAATAATCTATGAAGCTCACAAGCGTTTGGGAAACCGATGGGCTGAAATAGCCAAACTTCTTCCTGGAAGGTGCTTTGCAACTCTATTTGTGTTAAATATTGGAATATGAAAAGTGGTCATCTCACTACCCTTTCCAATGTAACTTGTTAGTCAGAGAGCATCTGTTGAAACTTATACCACAACGTATTTATCTTGATAGATACTAAAAATTTTTAAGATGTTTTGCATTTGATTATGCATTCTTAAAAAGCCATAAAACCAATATAAAGACCTCTAATGCTTTGCAGGTACCTTCAAAATCCTCTTGATCACTTAAAAACCCTCTGCAATTGAGCTGAAGAGGGTTAACTTCAAGTAATAGAGCAAGAATGATTTGATATCAAACTTGATGACAAAGTGCCTTCATTAATATGCATTTGAGGGTGACTCTCTTGCTTTAAGATCGAATTTATTTTTTTTGTGTGTATGTGTGTGTAACACTTGTTGAACTGGACACTTGTAAAAGAAAATATTAGTAATATTTGAAAGTCCGGACTTAGGAGTCATGCATTGCAAAGCTCCATGAAGTCTCTATGTTAAAAATGAATTGTATGCGTTGTTCTCCTTATATTTGTTTCAAGTCTGATTGGCAGTTTCTATAGTTGTGGAAAACAAAATTTTAATGTATAAAGAGTTTAATAAAATAATGCTTTTACCTTGTAATTGAATTTCAATGTTAAGTTGTCCCTTTCTGAATTCAGTTTGTGTGTTCAGGAATCTAGCTGTGCCTAAGGAATGTCAGGACTTGCTATGTTGGCAGAATAAGAGATATGTGTTTAAAAGTTTTGATTAAGTACACAACCCATGACTCACAGAAAATCCTTCAGAGGAATGAGGAGAAAATGGATTGCAACTAAGTAGAATTTCAGATAGGGAAGATGAGTTTGACAGACAAATTCCTAATTCACTGACTTGTTTGTTGTAAATAAATCTAAGATGACTCTTAGTTGAAGACTGGTAGAGATCCTGGACCTAGAAGATTTGTAGAGTCCAACACTAGTAGGATGAAAAAGGGGAGTCAAGCTTAAATGAAGAATGGGGCTTTAAGCAATTTTTGTTTCTGTGTACCTCTCTCTAAGGCTAGGAATAATATTGCTGGTATTTTAGACTGTAATGCAGTTATACTCCACTCTTGCCTAAATGGTTCTCTAGTGATTTCAGTGATTGTGTGAAGTATTTCAGTCTACTTGTCAAAACGCCATGGTTGCTTCTCCCCATACAAGATCAAGGGCACAAAGAGTATTAAGATGTTCTTTCACAAAGCTGCACATAAAACACAGAGCTGGGATTGCAGGCTGTCACATTTTTAGAATAGGTGTCTTCCAGCAGCAAACACTAGTTGAAATGCCCTTATTATGCTGTGGGACCTCAGGGTGATTGTCTTACATTCCAAGTATCCAATAGAAAAGGTTCTCACCTGTGACAACAGCCAGAACCAAGGCTTTCTCTTTTGCTGCTTTTAATTTCTTGCAGACTTGAAGTTTAGTATAAGGAAGTTTTTAGAAGAGCAGCTTTCTAGTAATTATGCCCAAACCACCACTGATAATAGAACTTTCAGTCTAACTGCTGGAACTTTCTGGATTTGTGTAGCCTCAGGTTAACCTACTCTACAAACCCTGTAAATTATGTCATATATTAAATTTTGAGATATGGAAACCAGTCACTGTTTTTCACTTTTATTTTAGGACTGATAATTCAATTAAAAATCACTGGAATTCAACAATGCGGAGAAAGGTGGAACAGGAAGGATATTTGCAAAGTGTTATAAAGTCTGAAAGCACTAGTTCTTCTGAACATCAGCCCCAACCTTGTCTGACTATGGAACACTTGCACACTCAGAATCAGTTTTATATGCCTGTTCAAACACATGTAAGTTCAAAATTAAGAGTAATAAGTATTTCCCAGTTTCAAATAAATTATTTGGTTTGGAACAAGAAATAAATCTGAAATATTGAAGATATGTGGAATATTTTTTGTGATTTTTATGGTAACTTATGATTTGTAAACCATAATAAATAGTTTATGTACATTAAACTAGAGATAATGTTATAACCTCCTTTTGTTGAGGGTTTGTAAAATGTTTTATGTCTTTTCAGATTCCAGCCTATCAGTATGCTTCATCAGAAGGCAGCTGTCTAGAACATGCTCCATCATCTTCCAACATAGTTCAGGTAAATTTGTTAACAGGCTTCATAAATTAAAGAGAATTTACTGTGTATTATACAGTAAAATGAAGAGTTTAAAAACTTATGTCTTCAGTATGTTTGTTAGTCTTCATCATTCACCTAGATTTATATAAGTTCCTCTTTAGTTAGGCTTGCTTGCATCATTGGTATTTCTTGATAGGAAAAATGGAGCTTTCTGTATTTCCCAGAAACATGATGTTTGTGCTTATTTCTGAGAGAAATATGGATTAAAATTTAGTCTACTTGTTAAATCATGAGGTTAAAATTGTGACCTGTTAGTATTACCACCTTATGAGAGATTTAAATACCAGACTTTACTGCTTATATATATGTAATAAATACAACCCTATCTGAAAAACTCAGTTCAAATAACTTACTTCTGACTGTGCGTTATTGTTCTCAGTAGCTTTTCTTTCTTTCTCAGTGATAAATGTCTTTCAGTCTGTTGAAGGTGCTCTTTTGCAACATTCTAAATGCTGAAGTATTGAGGAACTTTAAAACAAATATGTTATTTTCATTTTGCTTCTTTGGGCTCACTTGGAATATATCTGAAATTCCTTGCATGTTGCAGACTGAATGTAGATCTTTGCTTCTGGTATGACCCTTGGAAGAACTTTTGTGACTTTAGAATTAGTAAAAAAAATATTTCGACACAAGGAATAATGTATGTTTTGTTTGTAGTAGATGTAGAGGCATTCTGCAGAACTCTCTACCTAACCTGAAGTTTTCCTATGCAGGTCATCTGTTTCATATTGCATTTTCTGCCCTGATTCTGCGAGTACTCTCTAAAATCAGGATTATAACTAGTTTTGAAACTCATGGCATATATCCTCACTGACCTATATTTATAACACTAATGGAAAGTATTAAGGAGGTTAAAAATAAACCAACCAACCAAAACCAATTAGTTAATTTTCTTTTCTGATAGTAGTGGTAGGATTGCCTTGTAGACACTCTACAAATGCTGATTTGAAACACTTTCTTACACACTTAGTGAGGATAAATAACTCAAAATTTTAGAAAGCACACAAAAACATGAACACATATTCCAATGTGCCAACATTGTTGGTTCTATTAAAGATAGAACATAGCTGTAGCACACTGGCCATTTACAGGCCATATTAGAAATGTGTTAAAATACTACCTTACAAACCACTGTAACATCAGATCCATCTCCTGGTAATTGGAGTTGTTTTACTTGTGAGTGACTACTGTACTACAAACTTGATACAACTTGAACAACTCTGTTCCCTCTGTGTGTGGATTCCTGTTGAAAATACAGCTATGTTGTAATGTAGAATTTTTACTGTGAAGGGATGGTGGAAGTGGAAAATAGTAATGCTTTCTTTCTTAAATTTTTCAGCAGCCATTTATTGATGACGATCCTGATAAAGAAAAGAAAATAAAGGAACTCGAATTGCTACTTATGTCAGCAGAGACTGAAATCAGAAGAAAACAAATGTCTTCTGTAAGGACTGTAAATATTTGAATATGCATTACTGAGGTTAATCCTCAGCAATTGGTTGTTTGGTTTAGTGTGGTGTTTTTTACACCTGACCCTCTAAACCCAAACCTACGACTGTTGAGTTGTAAACCAAAATCTATATATTAGGACTGAAACAACTTATTTTTAGTGCAGTTTTAACCTTCTAAACAGTGAAGACAGCAGAAATGTGACCAGCAGTTTGGCAGTTGTTCCTAAGAATTTTAATCCTCTTCAAGAGATAACACATTTGATATCCCTGCCATTTCAGTTTTATAGATTAGCAATATTGATCATCTGCTCAACAGAGGCAGATGAAAAATACATAGACTTTGCCCTATTTGATTTCAAAATGTCCTGTAGATTACATTTTTGTTAAACTTTGGTGTAGTACTTGCAATACGTGATATCTACATTCGGACATGACTAACAGTAAATAAACAGGCACTGTACGCAATTTATGCATAAATTCAGTGGAATTAGGGTAACTTGCAGGTGATGTCACTGATTTCCTCAGAAAGCTGTGAACATCAGACACCTAACCAACCCAACCATATTGATCACTAATTTAGATTACAGAGGAACTTCCATTTTTATGTGGTGGAGCTATTGCTGGCATTATTTTGAAACAGTGGAATATTCTGCTTATCTAGTGGAATCTATTTTGCTTTTAGATTTCCAGTGAAAATTAAAATGTTTCTAAAGCAGTCTACTAAAAGGGAACTATTAATGCAGAATCTGCCCTAAAAAATCAGATCAAACAAGAAGTACTTCACATTCTAGAAACATCTTGAAATGTATCTGTGTTCTGTAGTGAAGATTACTTCATGATATACTAGGTTTCTAGTGTACAGGCAACTTGGATCAGAGATGGCTTCTAATGCAACCCATAATTATCTAAGTTAATAAGCATGTATGAGATATGAATGAGAGGTAAGATAAAAATCTTACACATTTTGAAAATGTTGTGTTTGTTAATGTAAGGAGAAGACTAACTGCATTAATTGAAACACATAATTAGTATTTGAAAATGCAAAAATGAATATGCTTACTCTTCCTACACATTTTCTACCCTGCAGTCACGTAATTTACTCTTTCCAACCTCTAAGTTGAGTAAGATTAATGTATTTCCTCATAACTTTTTAGCAAGCTGGAAGCTTACCTTGTTGGTCTGGAAGTTTTGTCATGGAAGACTGTATGCCTAATACACTAAATAGCCTTGAGGAACAAACAAGTGATTTCTACAGCATGGATGAGACTCGAATCACACCTGTTCAGCAGAATTCACCACCTAAATATTTGGGTGTTGAAGCAAATAGAATGTTAACACCTCTACAAACCATTCCAGAATTTGCAGAGACACTAGATCTTATGGAAATTGTAAGTTTGTATTTCTTCTTTAAAAGAAGTGCTTATTTGGGAATATCAACTTACAGAGTATGTGTAAAATACTCTTAAAATTACCTTATTTTGTACTTGTCTGTAGTTTCAGCCATATTGAATGTTTTATTGTCTGTTTAAACATAATTATTTTTTAAAATATTCAGTCTTTTAGGATTGTATGAAAGTTACAGGGAGAATAATTCAGTATATGGCTTCTGGAGATAGAGAGCTGATAGAGTGGCTTGGACATTGTGAAATAACCTTGAAGGAGCGTGCTAGCCTTTTGAGTGTTTTGCATCTTGCCTCACAGGATCCGGTAGCGTGGAGTGATGTCACCTGTTTTGAGCTTTCAGAGGCTGTTGTATCTCCTGTCAAGTCAGCTCCAGTAAAACTCATGCGGCTTCAACACAATGAAGGAGCTCCTGAGTGCCAGTATAATGTTGGTGTTATGCTGGATGGCAAAAACCACAGTAGTAGCATCAGTGGAGATGAAGAAACAGTTTTTTCAACAACCTCAAACTTAACTAAGTTCAGCAATCCACCTGCTATCCTGAGAAAGAAAAAGAGATTGCGTGTCGGGCAATCACCAGTCAGTGATCTGAACGACGGCTTGTGTAATGATGCTGTCAATGTTGCACTAAAGCGTACGCCAGTGAAAACACTACCGTTTTCTCCATCACAGGTGAGTGAGTTATAAATTATAAGCGGTTTCTTCCCTAGTCATACGTTGTAGCCTAAACAGATACGTCAAAAAGCTTCTTAAAACATCTGCACAAGGGTAGATATATTAAAAATAAACCATAAATTGTTAAATAAACCTATTTCCTCTGTTTTGAAGAGTGATGAGAGAGGGCGGCAGCAGCAGCGACCAACTAGTGTCTGAACTCAGACTTTCTCATGCAAATAGTTGTTGATAGAGACCTTTTGTCTCTGTGACCTAATTAAGCAGTAGGGATTTTAAGGAGAAAATCAAGGTTTCAGCAATAAATGTCTCTTCTCCCAGGCAACCAGCAGCAGGACAAGAGGGCACGGTCTTAAGCTCTGCCAGAGGAGGTTTAGATAGAATATTAGGAAAAAAATTTTTACAGAGAGAGTAATCAGACATTGGAATGGGCTGTCCAGGGAGGTGGTGGATTTACCGTCCCTGGAGGATTTTAAGATGAGACTGGATGTCGCACTTAGTGCCATGGTCTAGTAACCATGGTGGTGTTGGATCAAGGGTTGGACTTGAGGATCTCTGAGATCTTTTCCAATACAGTTGATTCTGTGATGTTGTGAAATGTCTAGTGTAAGTCAAGAATAGTGTATTTGTAAAAGCCTTTCAGATACGTGTGTATTATAATTTTGGGGTTTTTTACTGTTTAGTACCATGGTGAAGCTTTGTCCTATAAGGTTAGTTAGGGGTTTTTTTCTCTCTCTCTTTTGCTTAGTTTTTCAACACTTGCTCTGCAAATGAACAATTTAACTTTGAAAATCCAGCATTTACATCAACTCCAATCTGTGGGCAGAAAGTTCTTATTACGACTCCTCTACACAAGGAAATGACACCACAAGATCAAAAGGAAAATGTGGGGTAGGACTATTACATTAAACATCTGGTGGTGGTGTTCAAATAAAAGCAAATATTTTCAAAATCCAGTTAAAGTTTAATACACCTGGGGTAATACTATATAAAATATTACTATATATAATACTCTTAATACTCGTAGTACTATATAAAATAATCTTAATATGTAGAGATTCACGGTGGTGATATCTTGTGCAAATTAAGGTATTTTCAAATGCTTCTTAGATTAATTTTATTACATTACTAATGATAAATTAAAATATTAAAATGCATGTATGAACACTTTGCTATGCTTGAATAGTTTTAGAACTCCCACAATGAGAAGGTCTCTTTTGGGTTCAACACCAAGGACACCAACTCCTTTTAAAAATGCTTTGGCTGCTCAGGAAAAAAAGTATGGTCCTCTCAGACTTATGGTATGTGATGAGACTATTTCTTTTCTTCTTTGATGAAGTCTAAATGCCCTCTTTGGTTTTGAGGTACTCTAAGTCTCAGTGTGATCTTAAAAAGCATTTTCTAACTGCTGTTTTTTCACTTACTTGCCTTATTATCCTAGAATGTCAACCAAAAATGCTTCAGATTTGGTTGTTAGACTCATATCCTTCAGTGTGGTATGGAGGCATTATCTTCTTGAATGGTAATTTGGTATATATAATCTGTAATTACATCCACAGTAATCTTAAATGGATTGGTTTCATATTTATGAGTTGTTTTAAGTCTTGTCTAGCTTTGCTAACACTGTACCTCTTATGAGATGGTGTCATGTTAAAGGGGGCAGAAAAGAAGAATTTTCTGTCCAATCTGTATTAATTTACTGTTTGTCTATCAGTGTCCTCCCAGGGGATCAAAGCCTTTTATTGTCTAATATAGTCTGTTAGCATCTCATTAGGTGAGAATCTTCCCCTAACAGATTCACTGAGATGGACAGGCCATTTGATACCTTTTATAGGGATCGCACTTAATAGCGACAGGGAAACCTCTCAGCAAGTTTCTTCTATGAGTTATTTTGCCATCCACGAAAATGTCAGCACCTAAAACCAGACTCAGGCTAGCAGTTCATGAAATAATGTGTTTATTAGTACAAATTTGTGTCAATTTATAGGGTTTGTGTTGTCTGGAATAGAGTCTAACTGCAAAAATACATTTAAACCATGTAGTAATAATAATAAAGCAAGGCATAAGCACACACTTTAAAGCAAAGCAACTTACTAAGAATACTGTGAAGCAAAAGTAAGTTCTAGTTATTTAGAAGCAAGTAATTAGCATTAGTCTCACCTTCCAGGCATCACCAGAAGTGGAAGGAGAAAGACTAGCTCATCAGCCATCTCTTGCAGTGTTGATGGAACTTCTCCCCTGTTTTTGCTTATGTCCAGTCTCTTTTTATACCCTTTTTCTTAGGCAGTTTGAGTCAATACACTAATTTTGGGGGGATAGACAAATGACATAGGCCCAAAGGAAATTTTCCTGTGTTCTCTCTGGCAGGATGTTTGCAAAAAAAGGTCAGTGTTATCTTTGTATCACTGGTCTCTCTTATCAGTTTCTGGAAATGTCTTCCCAGGTGCTGGGATCTTCCAGGAAACATCAGGAGTTTTTTTCTCCTTTTGTGTAACCTTATGTATCACCTTACAGGTGGTTACATAATTGTCTGAGATCTTAATTTGAATACTTTAGCATTCTGTTTTGTTAAAGAAAAATTGTGAGAGAGTGAATGGGTTAGGGTCCTCCAACTGGGTAATCTAGTAAGAGCAAGCTGCTGTAGATGAGTATGACTGACCTCGTTATTTTAAACAACTTTCACATTTGACTTGAAAAGCTGCATTATCTCTGAATCCTCTGGACTATGTTAGACCTGAGTTGTTTTCTGGCTTTCGTTATTCTACAGTGCTAGGACTGAAACTAGGTGTTCACCACAGTGTGTTAAACTTGAATGACATCTGTAATTTTTTCATCCTAAATCCAGAAATCTTAGTATAGTACTTCATGACCCCCTGATTCTTCTGGCTGTCACAGGAGTTTTTTTGTAGTTGTTGACTATGGATAATGTTACTTTTTTGCTTGTTTGTTTGTTCCAAATGAATTCAATTTTTGTTCTCTTCCTAGCCTAGCTAAGGTATGTTAATGCCTAATAACTTTTGGAATTCAGTAGACATATGCTTTTCAAATTCTGAAAAAATTCCAGCCAATATATATTGACTACTTCTTTTCTACAAACACAGAAGGCAGCTCAGACTTTGCCACAGGGCTTGGCACCATCTGTGTTACCCTATAGATTCACAGTCCCTCACTATGCAAATGGAGTGGTTTGGCATTCCTGTTTCTGTCCACTATTAACCTCCTGTTCAAAATCAAATTTTGAGGGCTTAAGGGAATTCTTCTCCTGTTGGTACACAAAGGAGCCATCTGTATGGCTTCTGTGAAATTCTGCACTGTACTTAGAACTATCAATGTCTCATACAAAGATTTGTGTTAAAATTGACATAAATTCCTTTCTCAACAAGTCATACATTTCTGGTACAGTTTTTTTAATATGTTTGTATGCATGTACATGTATGTAGATGTTTTTACCCCTTCTATCAGTGGATAACCATTACTAATAAATACAAAGAAGTAGTTTGTCTCCTTCAATGCTACCTGGCATTTGTGAGGCATGTATATATTTTATCTGGCTGTAAATAATGTGGAGTAAAAGTAACTTTAAAAAATCTCCGTAGCTGTGAAATGTAATCCTGTAGTTTTTAACTACAGTAGCTTAAATCCATTTATCTGCTGCTGTATTTTGCAAGATGTCTTTTCTAGCCTACATTAGCTGAATGTAGGATGTGGTAAGAACTAACAACTAATAGACTTCCTGTATTTTCTCTTTCAATTTTAATTAATTTTAGTCACAACCACTTGCCTTCTCGGAGGAAGACATTAGGGAAGTTTTGAAAGAGGAAACTGGAACAGATATATTTCCCAAGGAGGAAGATGACACTGTGTATAAAAACTGCAAGCAGGAGGTAACATGACAATAATAATTTCAAATAGAAAATAACTACTTTTAAATAATATTTTACAATTTTCCTCTGCAAAATGTTTATTTCAGCACAACTCTTCTAAAAAAGTCAGAAAATCTCTGGTCCTAGATTCACAGGAAAAAGAAGAGGTTGGTGCCCAGCGCTTCACAGAAGATAATAGTTTAGATATACAAGTAAGTATTAAACTACTGAAGAGCAGCACTGGCAGCAATATTAATGTGGAACCGTGTATCTTTTGTTCTGTGAACTAAAATACAATTTTTGGATTAAGGCTAGATTCATAAATCTAGAAAGTGAAAATCACATTCAGTTTGAAATACTACTTAAAATACTTAAGAAATACTTGAACATTGGGCTTGAATTCACATATGAACAGATTAATCTTTAGTCTTATAGTTTGTAGGAAAACTTCATTCTAATCTTTAAATTAATGTATGTATGTGTTTAATTCTGAAAGAGTAAATGTCTGTGATTCTTGATTAGGTACAAGGTATATTCAAGAGGTAGGAGCCAAAGTCCTTAAAAAGAATGCTTAAGGTGCTTGAGTCATACTCCTTTCTGATTATTGTACCTGGTTTCCTGAATTCCCTCTTTAATGCCTTTGAAGACCCTGTGCCAAGCCTAGGTATCTGCCTCCTGGGTGTTGGGTGCTCTGCCACCTAGTGGGAATTCCCCCCTTCCCCAAGAACACTCTCGCAGGAGGAACAGCATTCCCCTGAAACTGATTAGTCTTATTTTTTCCACTCCAGTCTCCTTCTCCTGACTTTCACAAGGGCTCTGCTAGAAGTGAATGACAAGCTTTTTTCTTTAAAACTGTTCTGTAGTTACTACTTTATCAAGTTCTTGTTCTTAACAAAATGTTATCAGCTGTAGTGTGGCTTTAGAGTAAAGAAGCCGTCTACTCAGTAACACCTAAATCATGCTAAATCCAGCTGCTTGTTGTACTGTGCTTAGTATTGACTATGGACGCCACTGTAGACCATGCTAGTTCTTCATATACTGTTCATCACTTTTTCTTTTCAGATTCTTTCCTAGGGTCTTTCTGATAGTATTTGCTTTATTTACATTTTAGCTTCTCTGAACACAGCAGTTAAAGTCTTTCTGTATTAAATACTAATTATTATTCCTGTTTCCTACCCTCTTTTTTGTCAATAGTCAAAAAATGCATATACCACATCTTTATTAATGACACCATTGTTGGAAATACAGGACAACAGATGTAACCTGACATCAGAAAAACAGGATACAAATCCGGCAGACAAAGCAAATGCAGTAATTAAGAAGAAACTGAATGCATGTGCTTCAAAAAATGTCAAAATGGAGAAAGCTCTTCAGGTCTGGATGCAAAGAATTCTGTTAGCTCTGTTAGCAGGTTAACAAAGAATTTTTTTGTTGTTTTGTTTCTGTCTTGCCCTAATGTCTAGAATTGTTCAAATCAGTGATCCAGTTTCGGTCAGTGTTTCCATGATCCTTATTTCTTGTAAGTTGGTTATTTGTCCACCAAATTCATAGCTAAGTTCGCTAAATACAACCCTGATGTTTCACTGAGTGGCCTCTAAGATTTAAATGTGGGGAAAACAGGATAGGGGAAACCTCCAAAACAGCCTGGGTACCCAAGACTTGGAGTTAAAAAAACTTAACTAAACCTCTGTACTGCTTAAGCTTCTCAAATTTGGCTGATGCTTACTTCATAATAAGCCCAGTGGGTTTCATTAATCAGAGTTCATCCACAGGTTCCATTTGGTAGATGTTCTTGTAACATGCCTGTTCTTGTACCTCTGTATATTTTCCTTACTGGTAAAACCATTGAACCTAGTTTTCCCTCTGCGTGTCTTGACCACCAGCTTTAGGAAAAGATTCTTTGATCTGATTTTGTACCAGTTTTTCCCATAGGGAGTTAATGTATAAAATTTTTGTGGCTTCTCAGAATATGCACAGCTCTGTATTGACGAAAAAAAAATCCCCCAAAAAACACAGGGCACCTGGAGCCCCATCTTCCCTGTTCTACTTTATTGCTTTACTGATGATGTTTTTAAGTATAGAGACAACAGTATTACTTTCTGATCTTTTCTTATGAGAAAGAAGAACAAAGTTCATTTGATGGTAATATTAAAATAAATAAATAAATAAAAGGATTACTACTATAAATTGCAACAAAGGTAAATTCATCTATCTGGCCCAGAAGTATGCTCTTTAGAATACTTAAAAGGGGAGCTTAGTCATACTATACTCACAAATGTTTGCATTGAAGCATTTTTTTTTTTCTCTTTCCCCAGAGAAATTCCCACTCAGTTTTGTGGCCTCTTTAACCCCAAGTCCCTTCCATGAATCGAGTTCTGCTAAATTTATAGAGAAACTCAAACAGCTCAGTTTCTCCATGAATATATATGTAGAACTGATCCTTTGGATCAGTTTCTAGCTCAACGTGGGAGGAAGAGGATCTTGCGTTCTTCTTTATGCTGCAATCTGCTAGTGTCATGTCCAAGTTAGAGCTGCAACAAATCAGCTTGAGATTCAGTAAATCATGCAAAGGTGCAAGCTTTGCTTCATGGAAGAAGCAGGACTAGTGGCTCAATTATTCTTCCATTCATCATTTTTATTCCCAATTCCTTTACCATTTCTAATGTATTCCCCCCAAAAATCTGACCAGTCATCCACAGCTGCCACTTGGTTCAGTAAAGTTCTGCACAGTATTCTTTTTCAGCTGCCAAACCATTTTGCCTTCCTTGGTGTCTCCAAACAGCTGTCAATAATGTGTTTTTCTGCCTGTTGAACTCAGCACATTTAAGGGGAAAGATATTCAAAAAGAAGATAACTTAATTAGCTTCCCTTTTATGTATTGTTGCACTAGTTAGTATTTTAAGAGTGTTTTTCACTTTGTGTGCTAAAACTTGGAGCATAACACAGATGCACTGCTGGGGAGCTGGATTAAGGGGTAGACAGGGAGCTTTGTCACAGTTCTTAGGTATTGTACTGTAGAATTAGATCCTTCTCAGTAATATATATTATTGATAGACTTTGATAATTTATTAGTACTCTGAGATTGTATGAGAACTGCTCAAGTATTTTAGTTTGTTAAAAGAATCTTTTTAACAGAATTTTATTTTATGCAGCCAAATCGTGACTGGGAAGCAGTTGTTTATGGAAAAACAGAAGACCAGCTTATCATGACTGAACAAGCGAGGAGATATCTGAGCACATACACAGCTACCAACAGCAATTCAAGGTCTCTGATACTGTGATGGTCACTGCAACTGACAACCATCTCTTTCCATTGAAACTGAAACAATGTTAAATGCGATTCCAGTACGATATTGTGAATTAAGTCTTGTCTTTGAGAGAGTCTGCCAAGGGAAACCTTAAAGCTACCTTAAAGCTTCCTTTCTTCTTTTGACTGACAAAGAACAGACGTGAAGCTCTTGCATACTTTACGAAGGGATACTGCAAACAGTTCTGCAATGAGTTTCTTAAATATTAGAAGCGTAATGCCCTACAATAACATAAAGAAGGGGAAAATGCATTTCAGTATTGCCAACATACAGTTTTTAGGTTTATTTTTCATATTTATTCTTTTGACTTGCATTGCATTTTTTATCTGTTGGAGCATTTTCAATATAGAGTAGGTTTATAGGTTGTTTCTGGTTTTCAAATGAGCAAGATACATGACTGAATATGCTTTTGCTTATGTAGCATTTTTCTAGTATATAAAGAAACACAACAGAAAGAAGTACAAAGGAAGGATAGAAAGTTGCACTACTAATTTTTTTGGTATGCTGCAAAACAATGGAATTAACTACAGTGTTAAATATATTTATTTGCAAATGGTACTAGAAGTAGGCAGAGGGGGTGAATTAAGTTTAGTGTAAAGCATCAGTATTTTCTTCATAAATCTCAAAATGAGATGATTGTTGAATGTATTGTACAGTATGTAGGAACAAGGAAAATTTTGTAAATTGGAGAGGATTCTGTTTTTATAATTTATTTCCATTTCAAAGCTTAAATGTAGATATTTATATGTATGCAGGTTGTCTAGAGGCCAATGTTGTTTCCTGTTAAAACAGCTAAAATGAAAAAAGGACAAGTTTAAAATATGTGGAATAGCAGAAGAATTACAGTGAAGTGTAAAAATCTATACTGTATGTGTTACATCTGCGTAAGGATTGCACTATAGCCCTAAAATCATGTTGGTCTACAACATAATGACAAGGTATACCTGTATTATACAGCAACTGTTCCTGTTCCTTGTTTAAATATATTTAGAAAGAAATGGTGGGGTCTTACATGAGACCCAGGAGTACTTTGTCCTGCATAGGAACTAAAAACTAATGCATTTTCAATATATATATTTTATTCTTTTTTTTTTTTTTTAAAGAAACTTGGCACCTTGGATCTCAAAACAATTGTATCTGCACTTGACTTTGACCATTATATACTGACTAAATGTTTGAAGAGCAAAGAGAACATTCTTTTATTTATGAAAAGTCTTTGTCCTTATTTAAAGGTATACAGGTCACAACACTTGCTTTAGTTGCCTATTTTAGGTATTTGCACTTATTTTATGTCTTTATTTTTGGTTTTGAAAAAATGTTTTGGTTTGCTTTTGTTGTAGAGATTTTTACGTAGTTAATTTTGAGCAAGTTATAATGGTGTGCTCTCAACAAATACTGACAGGTAAATAGAATTGTACACTGTAGTTTTAGTTATTTATAATTCAGACACTCTTCCTCTCCACTCCCGGGTGTGCTGCTACAGATAGTGGCAGAATCGGCTTGCTGCTATGAGAGATGGAAAGAGCGAGCATCATATGCACTGTATGTAAAATTACATGATGTCAGGTTCTCTAGTTAACTTTATGAGATCAACCAGTACTATGCAGGGTGTGGAAACTGTTCCTAACACTGTAATATCAAAGATGGTAGAAAAGAATGTATTTATGGAGAATTTTAACATGTGATGAGTGGCACAAGGAAGGTAATGGGTTCTTAAACTTTTTTTAAACATCTCAAAGCATATATAATCCTTGTTTTTAAGAGCTTTTTAATATTGGCTCCGATAGTAGTAGGCACAAACATTTTTAGCAGTTTTTAATTCACATCAAAATTTCAAGGGGGGTGGGAATCCTATATAAACAAGGGATCAGAAAATGCCCATCATGCCAGGATTACTCCTCACCTATGACAATTTAGAGGAGTCAATTCTTGGCAGTACTAGATTTTAGGTGTGTGTTACCAGAGTGGATTTAACAGCAACATTTAGTGCTGGAGACATCATTTAATTCACAGAAAATGAAATCAGACATTGAGAGAATTAATATCTAGAATCTGGATGGTATATTTCCATAGAAGTGGCATCACCAAAAGTACCTGTACCAAGTTTAAGCATAGATTTATGGTGAATAGTAATAATTTCTGTTGGTATTGGTTGGATCGTTTAGTTAACTCCTACTTTGTTACTTTAGCAGGAAGGTTTTAATCTTTCATATGTCAGGCATCTTATTACTTTTTGAATGTTGTGTGCATTTGCATTTCTTTCACTTGATAGGTAAATTGTACATGCAGCAGCCAAACTTGCATGAAACCTAAATACATATTACTCCATATTTTTGTTCTAAGGTTTGACAGAATGTGCAACAAATGCCTTGTTTATCTTAGTTTTTGTTGTACTACAAACTTTACTTTTATATAAGAGAATCTCGCAATACAGACCACGTTAATGTCAGAAATAAAGCATCTATGTACCAGGTTACTGTAAGTGTCTTTTATTTGAAAACATGTTTGTATGTGTGCCTGTGAAACTGCAAGAGACTTGCCTTTTCTGGACTGGGCAGAGACAGCAGTTATGGGAATCAGTGGATTACAAAGCAGGATGGAGTCCCCTGGTAGTACCTGCTTCAATTCAACCTGCGTGTAAGCCTACTTGTATTTGGTCAGTTTATATTGGTCTCTCAAAGCTTTAATACGTATAGTAAACAACTTGAGATGTATGTTCATAGTCTAAAGCTTTTTCTAGATTCCCTACATTTGTAGGGTAGAAGTATTTTGGTATGTGTGCCTGAGTCTTGAGAAGTAAATGCAAGTGTAAGCTGTGCAGTGTGATTTTATTTTTTCCCCTCCCTTACTGGTTCTCACAAACATGTATTAATCTGAGTTAGTGTTAAACTCTCTTATTTTGAGAGAAACACTGGCATTCAATACAAAATTTCCAGTGCTTTTCCCAGTTTTGTGACAAAATATAAATGACAAATAATTAAGGTAATCTGTTGAAGGAAAAGGACAGGAGGGACTAGCACAAGCCAGCTCTTCAGAAATAGGTCCTGGTAATTTGTGTTATCTAACTTTAACCTGTATAAGCAAACTCTGACTGTTATGGGGGCTTTGCTGGGGATTTGACTGTCACAGCCAGACCACTGTATGAATAACCTGCAGACCTGCTCGTGTCTGCATGCGTAAGGTTTTCCATCACTTGGGACAAGTGAAGTGGACTGACTAGAGCATTTGTTCTTGTGGCTGGCTGCTGATGTCACAGGGTGAAGTGTAGGTAAAGGAAAGTGAAGTCTAATGATGTGACTAATTCATTTTTCTGTGTTGACTTTGCTCAATGAAACAAAGTAGAGTGGATGGACAGCCAGTAAGGCAAATTTGGTAGTAACTACAACCCTAAATTTCATTATATGAAAACTCTGGAAGCTTTACTCATGGACTGGCTTTTACTTAGAAGAAATTATCTTAAAGGAATTGATTGGTGAGAATAAGCCCAGTTCCTACTGCTGTTATTCTGATTTTACATGAGAATAATTCTACTAGATTTGCACAAAACTAAAACTGATGCAATGCTGAGAGTGAATCAAGCTTTGTGAAATAAGGGTTTTAAACACTGAATATTAACGGACTACAGTTGCGCCATACCTGTGACCAAGGTCACACACAATGCAAGCAACAAAAATTTTGAAACATTGATTTCGTGCATTTCCTTTAATGATAAATATTCAGATAAAGGTTCACTACCTAGGCAGAAAGTACAGGGATGTGTTCTAATGCTAGACCTCATCCAGGTTTGGTTTTTTTTTTTTTTTTCATAAGTTTCCTTGACGTTGGATAAGCTGAATCTTTATAGGCTTAAATGCTTACTTTCATGAGGAAGCTGTGGATTACTGTTTCTGTGCCAGGCTAGCCAAAAGATTGGTCCCTCTTGAAGCTGCAGCATACTGGTCTGTGTGGCTGCCCCTGGAGACAGCCAGCTTAACCCTTGAGTGGGTTGGATTCTTGCCCTGCAGCTGAAGGGAACAATGGGATCCTTGTAGTTGTGCTAGCGTGATGTGTTGGAGGAACAGGTAAGCCTTGGATGCTTATACATAATCCTACATTTCTGTATGAAGAAAATACCTAAATGCTTATACCCACTATATCACCTTAATGCTTGTGAAGAAACCTCTGTTTGCATCTGGATTAAGAGATGTGCAATATGGCATTCTTCAGTATCAGCTTTTGTTGGTGGTGTGGTTTTCTTTTTTAATTTCATTTTCTCTTCTGCTTCATTGCTGTGTCTGGTTTTTCGTGAGGTACAGAACTGAAAGGAGTCCTCTGACAGTGCCTGCTGTTGGACTTTGTCACCCAGTGATGCAGTTGCTATTGCAGCGGCAGTTCTGTCTACCTGCCATTACCTTTTACAGAAATTTTGGGTTCTAATTTGGGTTTCTTTTTAGAGTCTCCTGGGTTATTTACCTGACTTCTGATTTCCTGTATCATCTGATACACCCTCTGATACAGAGAAGATGGATGTTAGAGGCCTTAGCACAAGCAAGATGGGAATGGGCTGTGTCTTGGCTAGCAGTGATGTACATCTGTAACTGTCCTGTGTTACAGTCTGGTGGAAAAGGGTACTTTTCTCTTTTGGGGAGGGAGAATTCTGCTTAGCCAGCATTTACTTCCTTGCTGACCATTCGCCAGTTGCTTGATCAGAGTTACTCCTTGTAAAAGTGATGTTTGGCTGTTTCACAACCAGCAGAGCTTTAGAGCACTCTTTAGAGCGTGTTGTGCACTCTGCTTTTAAGTGCTCCATCCCATAGGTTAAGGAATATTTGTTCAGCTTTCTGAGAATATTAGGTTCTTACAACAGTAGGCATTAAAAAAATAATTAAAAAATAATCAATTGAACAAACCCATAAAACAGATTTAAAACAGATTTAAAAAACCCCAACAAAACAGCACGTGAAAAAACTGCTCATTGAAAGACAGTGGTCATAAGCACTGATACATAGTACCTCAGAAGTCCTTGGAGGAGCTATGTGAACGACATGAGCTGTGAGTACACGTTAGGTGGAAAGAGAGTTTGGAAGAGCAATCAGCTTTGTAAATCAGAGCAGTTGAGGATGTGTTTCCACATACATGTAGGGATGAGTTGGGCTGACGCCCTCATCCTAAAGCTGAGTGGCGTGTGGGCCGACACCGTTCCTTCTCCCCCCGACAGGAGTGTGCCTGTGTCGACTCGCTGCCCGAGAGGGCTCTCTGCGGCCCCGGGGCCGGGGCTGCGCCGCGCAGCAAAGGGGAAGCGCCTTAGCTGGGCTGAGCGGGGTCGAATAGCCGGATAAATCAGCCGCCGGCAATTTACAAATGAATGCCACCTTCTCCTCAGCCATACGGAAACAGGGGATCAGCGGTGTCTGGAGGGCCCGTGTCACCAGAAGTAGGCCAGTTTGTGCGTCGTCCTGCGCTGGCAAACGGCCAGGCTTTGTGTGCTCCAGACACCAGATGGGAAGCAATTATGAGTGTGACAAGCGGGTCATCTGGCAGACACTCTGTGGACCTGCTGCCGCATTATTTTTGGCGGGAAGAGAGCTTTTTATTTTCTTCCCCCTGCCCCCTCCCTTTTTTTTTTTTTTTCTTCTTTTTTTTTGTTGTGGTTATTGTTAATACAACACCTCCTTTAGCAAACTTGCAGTGACCAGGTATGGAGCATCCTGTGTTTGCTGAGCTGATGCTCCTTTCGTGCCCTGTGGTGAGCATTCTGTGCTTACCAGAGCTCAAGCGTTTTTCCTTGGGCTGACAGTAAGTGATGATTACGCTTATGTTTGTATATCCTGTATTCTGCAAACACTGGCTTGCAGTGCTGGCATGGATGTTTTAGCCAGTTGGGAAACCAGGCTAGGGCAGGAGACTTCCAGCCCAGGGCAGGAGAATGAGGGAGCCTGGAAGCTCCTGCAGCACATGAACCTGGTTGTCCAGCAGTGAGAAAGAATCCTAGCAGTCTTCAAAACTTCCCATCTCCTGGTAGGGCCAGGTGGAGGGGGTGGATCTCTTGGCAGCTGGGGCCAAGATGGGACCTTGTCGGTTTGTCCTTTGACCATAGTCACTGGCCTGTAAAAGGGGAGTTTTGCAAGCCCGGACAAATCAGCTTAGCTGGCTCCAGCTGAGTGTGACAATGCAGCCCCTCGGCTAAGAGCCTGTTGCTAATTGCATTGGGCAAATGTGCAAAACATATTACATCTTCCCTTGCTTTTGTCTGTCTGGCTGGGGGAAAATGGCAAACGTGGCCTGGGTCACCCGAGGTCGCCCTTTCAGGGTGCAGTGAAGGCAGCAAAGGACCAAGCAGGCGCAGGGGCTCCATCAGTCCTGGCCTCAGGGAGGAGAGCTGGGGCTGGCTGGCAGCAGATGCCTCTCTCCCTGCAGAGCTCCTGACGAGCTTGCTGACAACAAGGGACTCCCTCCCTCAGCAATGACTCGGTAGCAAATGTGGATATAAACACGTGGCAGGGGGAACATCTCTGTACCTGAAGTGCTCCTGTACCTGAGGTGCTCCCAGCTTGTGCATGTGGCCCTCTGCATTGTGTCTGTAGATAGCTGCAGGGTTTGAACCCACCTCTGGAAATCATATTTCAGAAGGGCTTTTAGGTCCACAGACCCAGTTCAACTTATGACAGACACTGCCCAGAGTTTTACATCTAGTGTTCTTTGCTGGTAAAGGTTGTCAGTGTTTGTGTTTATAACCACATCCGGCTCTGCGTGTGTTAGCATCGTGTTCCTTGCCCCTGGGGAAGGTGGGAGTAAGCATGTGTGTTTCTCTCATTTCCAGCTTTAAATGAGCAGGTAAGAAGAGAAATGATGCCCTGAAAAGAATTCGTGTTTGCAAGAGCAGTTTCAGGGGAGAAGCACCTTCACATTCTTATCCTGTTCAGAACCCCACAGTTTGGTGCCAGGCTCTGTGACGAGGACAGTGTGAGTACCACAATTCCAGCCCACCTCCCTGTCCCATAGTAACTCAGCTCTGCAGGTGGAAAAGTCAGCAGTGGATCTGGCTGTCGGCAACAGTCCTTCTCTACCTCATTCTTCTACCTTCTTCAAACTCTGTTGCTAGAGACTGCTTTCATTCATAGCAAAGACATGGTTCACAAAAGTGCTTGGAGCCACCTTTGACTGCTTAAACGGTCAAAAATGCAAATAACTAAAAATGCTGAAAAAACTCACCAGGAGTGGGCAAGGTCTGAGTATGGCAAGATGGGGAAAAAAAGTTAATGTTAATTTAGTTAAAATCTGTAGAGCTAAGTGAGCAGGACCAGCGGCACCCTCAAGTGCCAGCACCTCTGTGTGTCTACTGAGTGCTGACATTAGCTGTCATGAGGTTTAAAGCCAAATCTACATGACAGACCCCTAAAGTTCAGGTGATGGCTGGACCAAAGCTCTTGCCATTACATCCTGGTAACTTTTTCCCCTTAGGCTGTATTTTTATTTTTTAACTTTA